TATTAACATTGCTATTATTATTAATATTAAGTGAATTAGTGAGAGGATGGGGGGTTATTATAATTATGAATATAATGAGTGAGGGAGGATTAGGAGGAAGAGGAAGAGGAAGAGGAGGAAGAGGAAGAGGAGGAGCTGCAGATGGAGGAAGAGAAGGTGTCCTGCTCGGTTGTGTCCAGAGGAGAGGAGTGGCCGCCATGTTAACCAAGAAGCCCGGAGCCTCGGTCCTCCCGACGGGTGAGCACAGACTGTAACCGGCCGGAGGGCTCCTGAGCCCGGACACTGCGGCGGAGACGCGCCGCCGATCGCTCTCGGATCATCTCCGGGTGAATGTAGCGTCAGTGACCGGCATGAAAACAGTGAGGAGCCGTGACGGCTAACGAAGTGACAGCCACAGAAACTAGTCTGTGTCTGTCCATGACATGGGCTGTGTCTTCTGAAGACAGACAGAGGACAAGCTGCGGTGTGGACACAGACAGGGACACAGAGAGTCAGGGGGAAAACTAGAGCTCGAGCGGCTGCAGACGTCTCCAGGTTTATTTTTAGCGAAGCAGCAGATTGAGACAGCTCAGTGTGTCCTGACACTTCATGTCTCTCCATGAACACTTCACTGCTGCGAGGATTCCAACATGTCTCCTCCCTGTGAGCTGGCTCACTTTGTCATGTCAAGTGTCTGTCTGTGTCTGTGTCTGTGTCTGTCTGTGTGTCTGTCTGTCTGTCTGTCTGTGTGTGTCTGTGTGTGTGGAGGTGTTTTGGCCTCCAGCTCCACAGACACAACTGAAGCTTCATGTTCCTCCATCTGTGAAATTAACAACAACCAGACACTTTCATTATAACACGCAGGCTAATGTTGTTACATGTGTTATAACATGTTAATACGTCATGCAGCTCAGTGTCCGTCCTGTGTTACGTGTGTTATAACATGTTAATACGTCATGCAGCTCAGTGTCCGTCCTGTGTTACGTGTGTTATAACATGTTTATACGTCATGCAGCTCAGTGTCCCTCCTGTGTTACGTGTGTTATAACATGTTTATACACCATGCAGCTCAGTGTCCCTCCTGTGTTACGTGTGTTATAACATGTTTATAC